GATCATAAAACAATTCGTTCATATTTATTTAACCCAATGTTATATTATGGAATTTGCTTATCTAAAGTAAATATGACTTTTCTGTTATCTAATATCTATTCAGCCGTACTTAAAAAGACATAATTCACGAGTTAATGACCCAAACAGCAAATAATCACACATTACTTATTAATATGACATCTAGAAGGTATATAGTTAAGATCGGTTAGGTGATTAGATCATGTAATTAAGAGTACTAGCAGATTTTCAAAGGTCTATTCAACACAAATGTATCTCATTTTAAGTAGCGTTTAAGCACACAATAACTGTTCTGTTCTAGTGTAAAACTCCTTAGTAGTGTGCTCTCATGACCATGCTGCAGACTAAGTCCAAGATTTTCACTTCACACGAAGAACGCTCAACCACTGAAACTATCGAGTCTCAGTCTAGTGGGAAGATTCATATTCTAAGAAATGTTTGATATAAATCGATGTTCATTGTTGATAAGTATTTCTCTTCTGACATGTTTGAGATCCACTGCATCCGATGCCCACCAGGGTCGCGAGTACGGAATAATAGAGAATTCCCTTGCCTTAACGGAGCAGTTTCTACCGTTTGCTGGTTATTGTCAATGTTATTATAATAGTCAAAAATTCTAATCTGACATTTTCCGACTTAAAATGATCAACTTTAACGTAAATTAGTTACAGTGACTTTTTGCAAGTGGGAAATGGTCATTTCACTGACTATGTGCTTCTGTTTTAATGAAAAATACATATAATTACGAAGTCTATTTGCAAGACCATTAATATTGTGTACTAGATTACTGTGTGTTTCCTCTGACATACTGGAAACTGTTAGCAATCGCTTATAATTCAAATAATATATTATTTTCAGAATGGGTTTTGTGCTCGCGCGCGAAGCCAGTAGGTCCTGGGTTCGAGCCCCGCGTGGTGCGGGATCGTGGATGCGCACTGCTGAGGAGTCCCATACTAGGACGAAACGGCCGTCCAGTGCTTCCAGGTTTTCAATGGTGGTCTAGCTTCAACTGACTCATGATTTCAATCTGTGAAATATATTATTTGTTATGTGCTTAATTTATGTGGAGCTTTAATATATGTGGATTTCCAGTTATAAAGTGTTAGGAGGATGCTTACAATCTTCATCCACTTCACTCTATCTAATAACTGTCAGCATACTTATTTGTCTAACGGATTTAACATTTAAACCTATACCGTTTGACATAAAATAGTTTTAGGCAATATTCAAATCTATAAACTTCGGTTTCATGACATTTAGTAGTCACTAGTAAGACGTACAGGCTGTCTTGAAGGGACTATTATTTAACGGAATATTAGAACTGACCTTACTTAATACCACATTCCAATTGGTTTTATAAAATTCAATTGGTAATAATGTTTAGACAAGATGATATTACTTACCAAAATGTGATTCATTGATATAAGCCAGTCAGTTCAACAAGAAGTTCATTGTTACGACCTTTGATTATGACCTTGTGTGATACAGTTCTTAATTTTAAAAAACACATCAGGTCTCTCGAGATTCTCTATGTTCCATATTGGTAAAGAGCAAGAAAACATAGATTTGCGGCTGTCTTTTCCCTCAAATCACTTATGAAATCTAACAGTGAAAAAATAATAGAGCACTATGAATTCTAACATTTTATCTTTGTACACTAGACACTTACCTACCTTTATCTAAGGATTCTTTCATTGTCTAATTGATGTAGATTTAAATTTATTCAGTCTACACTTTAATGACAAAATGAAATTACTTAAATTATTTAAAAAAGAAAACAAAGTCACTGAAGAAATGAATTTTATAGGTTAGGTACTTTTCATTTGTATGACCAATATTGCATGTTCTCCGAGAAAATAACATGGAACAGATTGAAATTAAAAACTAGTCAAGTAATTGGTTCAATGCTAACATGATTTACGTTAGAAACACAAAACTATACAATGCCAAAAAGCTTAAATCTTAAAAAGGGTATATATATTTGATTACTTTATTAATGAAGGTCCACGTACTAGTTTTATACTTCTATTGATCATGCACTTTTTACTGTTCCTTTGCCTATGTCTTCTACATTACTCTTGTCATAATAATAATAATAATAATAATATATAATAATAATAATAATAATAATATTTTTATTATCTGAGTGAAAGACTTAAATTATGAGTCAAATATTTATCAAATACATTTTAAATTGTCAATGATTTAACTTGGCTTGTTATTCGTTTGATGTTGAATCCATATTACATGTCATATTGTCAAATGTCAAATATTTTTGCACAATTTTAAAAAATAAAAACACCATATTAAAATATATAAACCGTGAGTGACATGAGTTTTATTACAACTCTGTTCATTACATGAAAATCCTTGATGTATTTATAAATGGATAAAAAATGAAAGGTGAATGTATCAAGATATGTTCATTACTTCATATTTCTGAAATAATACAATCAGCTGTAGTCATGATAAATCCCCTTGTAAATAGATACATTCTTTACCCTCGATAAGTAAACATCCATACCGTTGTAATTAAACATTAGGGAAAAAAAGAGATTTAATTTTCACACTGTTTATCTATTAGTGTTTCCGAAAATGGAACAGTGTTCTGTGTTGTTGTTTTTTAAAAAAATAAAAAATAACATTCTTTTTTTTATTATTCGACTAAATAACTATCACATTGGATAATTGGTAATTAATAATAAAATTATGTTTTATAAAAGCAATAAAATAAAATATCTCTTAGCAACAAAATAGCAACACTTTGGATTCTTATTATTTATTATTATTTATCACATATTATTTCAATTTGGTTATGAAGTTATACTCTCGTAGTTTACATCGCAGTTTAATCTTAGTTAGACAACCATTTAAAATTCGATCTTGAGATTATGATTGCAGCTAAGTAACAACGAGAATATCATCATAATTCAACAACAAATGAATTGCAGTGTTTAACTGTGGATGCATCACCAGTCCCTATCAAACAACAACCTCAGTTGACTTTGTTGAATAATAGTAATGTTAAACTATCCACATCATCATCGCCAAGGTTGTCGTCCCCTTCAGTATTGAATGCTACAAACCAATGTTTGACTACTACTAATACTACTCCTGGTGCTGCAGTTATTGTCATTGTTACAAGGTAGTGTCATCAGTATGTTGTTGATTGGTGTTTTTTATTTGAGAGTAGGTCTGTGATGCCCTTAGATGTCCAGGGTCACACGCGCGCTACAATGACGGCGCCAACGAGTCTGGAAACCTGGCCCGAAAGGGTTGGGCAGACTGTTTCATTACCGTCGTGACTAGGATCAGGGCTTGCAATTATTCCTCGTGAACGAGGAATTCCTGGTAAGTGCAAGTCATAAGCTTACGCTGATTACGTCCCTGCCCTTTGTACACACCGCCCGTCGCTACTACTGACTGAATGGTTTAGTGAGGTCGTTGGATTGGTGTCGTTGTAGTGGCTTTGCCGCTCGACTGATGCTGAGAAGATGACTTAATCTGACTATTTAGAGGAAGTAAAAGTCGTAACAAGGTTTCCGTAGGTGAACCTGCGGAAGGATCATTATCATAACCCAAAAATATATAATCATGCATGCACATGGCTTCTTGCTGGACTGCATGTGCCCTGGCTTGGTGGTTATAACCCTACGCTCCAGTGGTTATTATTGCGTCAAAACCAATCAGTGAACATCGCAATGCTTTGTTTTAATTAGACAGTAGGATTCCCCTGGTCCGTGGCAGTTCTGAGTTAGCCGTCGCGCGACAGACCATGGAAGTACAGCCACTTGACGCAACGTGGAACAACTTCTCGCGCGTTGCTAGCTGCACGACACTAACAGCTGAAACTGCCCACGATCGACCCGGATCAGAGTCCAGTAATGTCACCACAACGCGCACCGAAGCACACAAAGCAGCAAAGAAACCAGCCTCCAACTGGATCGACACGTATCTGATCTCGGCCTGTCTGACTCGGCCCCCAGAGCCAATCCTTCTCCCAAAGTTACGGATCCAATTTGCCGACTTCCCTTACCTACCTTGTAGACAGATATTTCACTCTAGCAAGGGACTAATTAACAGTGCACATATGCTGTCCTGATAATGGGATCGAGTCCGGGACTTTCTTTTCTGAAGTGAACGCCTAACATCCGTACCACCGAGACGTCATCCAAAGGTATACAAGTTTAACTATCAATAAATAGAAAGGCTTAACCAAAATTAGTCATAATCGAAATTGGTTGTAAGATAGTTGCTATGTTATGACATTCACCATCTGAATCTCTTTCTGGTGTCACTTCAAGAATAAAAGCTATTTTAAAACTACTTATCGCAGAAACTGCAGTAATGGTACGGAACTAGTTCAGTACGAAGCAAGGAGCTGTCAAGTTGAGAAATAGTATAGTTTATAAGGTTCATATTTAATAAACTGCACCATATTGGCAAGTAAACATTTCATGGTTTGACTCTAAAATATGTTAGTAATCTACAGTTACAAACATTTAGCTGATTGATTCATTTATTCCTAAATCTCCGTAATCGTGAGTTTAATGTCACTACTTATATTCCTCATTCTTCGATATGATTTTTGTTTCGTTTGCCTAATTTTTGACTGAAGTTGACATTACTTTTTTTTACTTCTCACGAAGTTAATTTTCTCTCGTTATTTCTTTCTGTCTCACTTTGAAGCTTTGTACTGATAAGAAGTTTTTGATGCTAACATTAATCCAAATCTTTCATTATATGCTTTGTGATTCATTACCAACAACCTGATTGGCTGGTGAATCTTCATGAATCATTCTTTTTTTGTTATTGAGTGAATTCAGTAGTTTGTGATTTATCATACTTTTATCATTGTTCATTACGTGAAATTTGTAAAGTACATTGAACAGCAAATAATTCAATACATATTCTCTCTCTAATATGTTTGGTTCATTCTTCAATTCATTACGTTTTTGATGTTTTTGATTACTTTATTTTAGAAATTGAATTTAATCATGAAAGAACGTGATCAACTTCAAATAGAATTAACAAATACGAATCGAAAATTAGCTCGATTCTTAGATCATTTTAAAGCTCGTTTAATTTATCATATAAATGGAATAACTGTAAGATTTTTTGTTAACTAATATACAGATAAAAGTATGTTGTATGTTACAATTTATAACGATGTATTTATACTTTATGAATGTTATGTGAATGCAGTTAGTCAACATGAAACCCTGCATGACCTAGATTTCCTTTTAGTTGATTCTCTGTACGAAAGCGTATCTGTAATTTTAAGGAAACCAATGCATCCCGTTAGATTTGAACCCGTATTAAGTGATGATGAGTTACAGCTAGTATCAAACCTAGGTTATGCAGGGTTTCTTATAAATTACTTCCAACCAAATAACACTTACATTAATGTACAATAGCTATCCAGCTATGACATTTAAAATTGATTCCTGCTCATTTCCATTTATCTGCAATACCACGTGATAATGAACTATACAATAGTATTCATAGATAATGTGATGTATACTACAGAAGAGAATGTCAGACATATCGAAGGTAGTTGTTATTTTCTCTTGAGAACACGTTAATTCTATAATCCTTTTAGTGAATTTAATTATAAAGTATATTTTACCATTAAAGGTTTACTCCGAAAGTCGGTCAAATCAAATTCATGTAATGATTATTTGTCTACAATTCATTATCAATCCTAGTTTGATAAATATATGTGAAATAACTTCATACATGAACCCTTTATGGGAATCACTTAGATAGTTCACTATTACTTTACATTCGTCAATCATTTTTGTATACCATTATGTAATCATCAATTTAACAATTGGATCAAAATCATTCACTGTACTTTTTGTTTAAATATGAAAAAATTATTGAGTATAATCAGTTTATATAAATTAATGTTTGACAAATTTATTATGTAAAGGAAACATCGTTTTTATTAATTAGTACCATTGAGTATCCCTTTGAATATTTAACTATAGTAAGTAAACTAATTTAGGTAATAAATGAAATATTTCTAGTGATTAGTTGCTTTAAAACAATATATATATATATATATATATATATATATATATATATATATATATATACACTATACTATTATTACAAAAATTTCTGATATGTTATTAGTGCAGATCGAATGCTATCGATCATGTTGCAATGTGGCCACCAGTCTAGGTGACTCGACACTGCGGGCACTATATATTGAGATTAGACGGTGGTTGGCCACATTGCAACATGATCGATACCATTCGATCTGCACTAATAAGGACTAGACACGCATGACATTGATCGCCACCCAGTGATCAATCAATTGTGATTACATCTCAGTCCTACAGGTGGTTAGTCACGGCTCGGATAGCTCAGTGGTAACGTCTCTGACTGTGAAGCTGGGTGACACGAGATCGAATCCGCCAGGGAGCACCAGTTCCCTCAAGATTACAGGTACACCTTGCTGACGAGTGCCAAGTAGCACGAAACCCGGGTCCAGGGTTTCCTGTTGACTACCTCCAACCACCATCTAATATTACTAGACTTATGTCATATTGGAATGGTAAATGAAGTCTTGATTCACAGTATAATTCAACATTATTATTATTGACTTAAAGAACGTTATAAGTTTTTCATTTTACTTTTGATATTGAGTACTTTCATCAAAATGATATGACTTAACGTAAGGAAAAATCAGTATAATATCAGATAGCAATTGACTAGATTTTAAAAAAAGCTATAGACTCAATTTTTTTATAAATGCATTGATTCGACATGGAAATCCACCAATGTATTTTTCAATAGATTAAGTTTACATTGGTTAATAATTGAAAAAGGGGAATAGGTTGCTAGGTTTCTTCAAAATATTCCCTAATTATTATGGAACCACCCGATGAGCAGTTTCCAGGTTAGGTACACGTTAAATTGGTTGAGGATGTATTGGGTATTCACCAACTGAGGTGGTTAGGACATGTATTACGTATTACTGTCTAACTGGATGCGTGATTACATGTAGTGTAGGAGTAGGTTAAAAGAAAGCTACGAGTGACTAAACAGAGGTAGTGTAATCAGTGTGTAGGACAATACGTAGTACAGCTCAAGATCGATCACAACGACATAGATATATTTACTGTTTGTCTTAAAATGCCTACACTTTTATTTCACTTATTCATTCTTTCCTCCCAAACATAGTGTCTATTCCTAATTTTTTCTACTACCAGTGGTACTGTTACTACCATTATTCATGCGTTACTCTTAATGATTTCATCTGTGTGTTTATGTTGCATGGAAACTCAAACTGACGCAAATATGTACCAGCTTTTAAGTTACTGACGACCGAGCGACTAAAGAACTGCATTGGTTTGAATCTTGTGAGGAAGTTCAGACATCTCAAGATTACTTCTTAAAACGTCCCAACTAACATTAAATTCTAATCATAAGGCTTTCTTTATATTACGTTCTACCAATTAATGAGATAACAAGATGCAAAACCAATTCACTGTATTTATTATTCAATTTACGCTCAGCGTTTAGTAGATGCTACAAAATCCAATGATAAATTAATTGTCAGTGAAGGACTTTATGGTTTAGAAAAATATATTAAACATTTAATTGCTGATATAAATGCAACTTATAAAATACGTGAAAATCAACTAGTTAACATTTGCCGATCGCTTAATGGTCAGTTGCATGCAACACGTGAAGCAATGCGGAAAGTGATGATTTGTTATACGTAAGTATTTTTTTATCGTTGTTATTTGATTACCTAAACGTTTATCGCATTCAAACATAGTTTCATTTCACTAGTTTGTTGGCATTTGCATCCTTACAAATTCATTTAAGCTTATAGATGCCAATTTTTCCAGTTCAATCAAACAGTAACTCTATTAACCTGAATAACATATCTTAATTTCTAGACAAGGCCAACGTCTAATGACTATGTACATATAATTTTCATTTAAGTGGACTAAACATGCTTGTGCAAATGCTTATGAAGAGTTTGTAGGTATCAATGCCAAAGCTGGACTTGATAGTTTCAAATAAATTGAGCATTGGGTAGAGGTTTAATACAAAATACTTTGTTGTTATATCCCAATCAGTAGGAAAGTTATATTTCTGACGTTTCGTGACTTAATGTGAACCACTCCTTCAGAGTAAACAAATAACCGAATTAAAATTACATAAGCTTAAATAGTACAAAAGAAGAGTGTTGATAAACTCAAAAGTTCCCAACTTAAAATTCTTTGGAACTACTTAAAGAGTAGCTTCTTAATTCATACCAGTATGACAATGTTAACCGAAAGCAGAATTTTATTATGAACTGTTTATATTAGATAGTTGACATCAACCATCAGGGAGCTTTAGACGCTGGTTTTATACTAGCTGAAACTCACCAGTGAAGTGATGCACCGATCTTATATCTATGATGACTGAAGATCTAGTTTATAGGGCTTGGTACAAATTAATTACAACCACTTTTCATGAAAAGTAGTGCATTACAACGTTAAGTTACTAAATTCATTGGTGCATGATCAGTAGGATTCAATCAGAACAAAGGACTATGCAAACATAAAATTTACCTTTACTTAGGAAGTAATTAATGTAGATAATACTCATGTTTGATAATACGTAGGTTGACATGTTTCATATTTAATTAATATTTGTAAACAATACTCCTAGGTCATTTTATTTTCATGAAGAGACTTGGTTGGATTACAAGAAATTACTTGAGTAGACGAGTACCATGTTTAATAAGTATTTGAAAGAGGAAGAAACTTAGTTATAGGTGATATCGACTGATGTTTGCAATAGTTTGTAGCGTTGTCAAACAGTGAGCCATAAATACTCACTGAAACAGTAAAAGTTATCTTCTGAAATAAACCATGAAACAAAACTGAAAATAATATCAAGAGCATATAATTCAACCAACTAATTTTTTTTAAAATAAGGTCACCAATAGAAAATGGTTTATTACAGATTATGAACTGATCAATCTATCTCAATTAAGTTGAGTTTTTTTATAGTTTTAAAATCAAATTCCAAACCTTCTACTCCTTCCCACCAGAGATTGAACCCAGGACTTGTCCAGTCCTTCCCGATTACTAGTGGTTGTTTGACAAATATCATTGCGCCGTGTTGATTAGAGATTAAAAAAATATCCACAAACCGCCATATTATTCACACTACCTTCTGAGTGTTCAGGCCATTATAACTACAAAACAGAGACTACATTACGGTGTACAATAAGTCTACTAAGATACAAGACATAATCAGTCACTAGTTAGTTATTTAAAACAATAGAATAACGAGAGAACGAAGTAGACTAACCAAGGAACTCACCGTACATTCAACAATAAAAGTATTAGGTGCATATAAATCGGTTAACAATTTACTAAAGCCTACCAGTAGATTATTACTATGAATCACGGAATACATCATATTGCTATTATACTTACAGTTGCATAAAACTGTTCTAGCTGAATACAGACAAAAATTAAAACATTCAGTACAAATTCACTATGATATTTTTGTATAGCTGATACTCACAGTTGGTATTCTTTATATTTCGTTTATCAAATAAGACATATATTTAAACATCGTTGTCAATTATTTTGCACAGATTCAAAAATGATGGTTACTCACTTTATAAACAACAAGAAATGATTGTCATTTTAATCAACTTCAAACATTTTCTATAAGCTCATTTATGGAGAAAAAACACATGTCTAATCACTTGTTGGATCATTGACTAATCAAAATTTCTAGTTCAATACAATTAACATACAACAGTTACAATAAGCAGACATAGATGTTTACATGCATGTGAATTAAATAATGTTAAATAGATAGTAGTATTGGTTAGATTCGAATTAAAATTAGAAAACTAATAATGAAGGATTTACCAATTTCAAGAAGAAAAACGTGCTTTTCTAGTTTCATAAAAAGATACTCTTCAAAGAAGAATCCAAAATTTGGATAAATTTCGAAGATAAAGAAATTGAAAATGACTGATTTGTTTAAGCAGATTTTTAAAATTATCAGATAGTTTTATTTGTATTTAAATAAAAACTTTCCAACTATTCTAGAATAATCATCAGGCTAAACAGATATGTAAGCGTTGATTTTTAGCTTAAAAAAAAAATATTTATTGGCCATTTTATGCCAATTATTCGGTTTATTCATTAAACACTTTCTAAAGTTGTTGAACACATGCTACAGTGGCTTAACGTTATACAAAATGCATAGTGAAACTGGCTTTTTTTTGAGTAAGTAATGCAAAACTATGATTTAACTCTCAGAACGTTCATGAAATGTCTAGAGATCATTATGGAGATAGGATAATGAAGATATCAATATTTTCAAGAGTTTTTTCTCTTAGCTGTGTGTACTTCAAAAGGATAACTGTCAGTTTTTCGTATCGATAAAAATCTTAAACCCAGATGGTTTCTTATGCTTTCCGAAAGTCAATTCACTGTGGATTATTGATGGTGAACTAAATTTGAGTGAATCGTTTATTTGTGTTTGTACAGTCGGATCAAAAGCTGAAATAATGAAGAAGCTGAATAGCCTGTCTTCTGAAGATATCTGTAAATGTCTCAACCAATAGAAACAGAAGCGAGATGAGTCTTAAAACTGGAGTTTGTAATATCTTCGGAATTTATTAAAATACATTAGTGCATGACAATACCTTCCTTCATTTCTGTAAGATATTCAACAGAAATTTACAATCATATATGACACCTTAGGCGGTATTCATTTAAATCCACGAAGCGCTATAGTTATTAGACAGTGGTTTATTAAACATGCCTATAGACAACAACAACTCCAATCCGTGATAGCGTTCAGAAGTCAAGGTGTTGTTTATTGTCAAAGTGTTCTATCTTGTTCATAGTAAGATTTCAATGAATCATTTGCTTTCTGCTCCTAAGATGTTATGGAATAATCTCTGATCATGAAACAATATGACTGGTTTAAAACAGACAGAATACTTGAAAAATCCGTAAATAAAAGTCTTAGCTTTTTGTATGCATTAAAAAACTTCTATAAAGTACAAAAAATTATCCAGGGATTTTGATTAGCTGAATTAAAACAATCCTGTAAACAAACCTTGGGAACTAAAAATTATTAGGTCAACAATTTATTTTCGATTTGATGGTCGATAACTTGACCATTTGAAGGTCATTTACTGCTTATGTACATTTACAGGGTTAATAATGTGTGCATCAATGTATACAATGAATATTGAATGAGTCGTTCTATCTTGTCGTTTGTTATAGAAAACCTTCCACCTATTATCTTTGGTTATTAAAGGTATTCCAACGTAAAAGTAAAAGATGGTAATCTATAATTCATTGAGATTAGTTCAGTAGACTTGATTATTGCATATCCGTGTTACAAAAATGGCATAAAACCATACCTACATAACTTTTACTTGTCTAAGAAGATACAGAAACCACTAATTTCATTGACCTTTTAATTAAGATCTGACATCGTCTAAGGATGATTTTAAAACCATGAAGTGATAGACAGCTGCATTGTCATAGTTTGTAATTTCCCAGCAATAGACAACTATAATAACACACTGGTAAAAACTAAGGACATAAACGAAAATACTTAGAATTAACATTCTGGGAAACTTCAAAATCATGGCTTCGACCCTAGTGTAATAATAATTATCCACAATTTAGGATTTCAAAACTTCAGCAGAACATTAATCCGATCTAAACTGTCTATCAAAACCCCAACAGTTGATGTCCATTTATGATTAAAGCTATCTTAACATCAACCTAACCTCAAAAAAAAACCATATTTTAGTGAATAAAGCTGTTCAGTTCTTAGTGAGATCGCCTTAAAAGCTATTCACTCATATATTATTCAGATGTCTTAGATAACATTCAGCATGAATTAAATCGGCTGATTTTGGTCTACAAGTTAAACGTTAACGCTAGGGACGTGAGGTCTTGGGTTCGACTCCGGGTAGAGGCTATTAATATGCAATGATGAGGACCAATCAGTCATCCATGCTTCTACGTTTTCAATGGGGGTCTAACTGAGATCAGTTTGTGACTTAAATCTATGAAAATTCTATAATCTCCACAAAACCATATACTGACAATTCAAAAATAACGGACGATCTTTCTGTAATAAGGACAGGAAAATCAGATAGCTCGACTACCGATTCCGCTGACTACATTTACCCTATACCCCTATAAAACCACCGACCTTCGCTTTGACTAGTAACAAAAACCTTTAATCAATAATTGCGAATATTCTTATACATATTTTCCAGAAAGCAGGTTCCGCCTGGATTAGCACTGAGAAATGTGACAAAATTGATTAAATAATCATAAACTACTCATTTATAATCAGATACATAAACATATCTGGAAAGAGAGACATTGATCGAACTTCACTGAAATTATACTAATCATAAATATAATAATTTATTACAAACGTAACGATCACATACAATTAAGGGACCTAGATACGCTTTTTTTTCTGGAATAAAACTTTGTAGTAGCTTGACATTGAGAAAATTCCTTAGGCTTCATTTAACATTGATCATTCTATTCATTCATTATATTTTATTTTATTAATTAAAATGATTCATGATAAAATGCAAAATTGTTGAATTCTTATATGGGGAAATAGGTGTATATACATTAAACTTATATTGACATGTATATTAGCGAACATGTTTGTACATGTGTGAGTGTATAAATTCATTTAAGA